AATGAAGTGAGACGGCCGGAACTCTCAAAGGAACGGACCGCGGTCAGTTTCCCGGAAAATTCGTGAAATTTCTTTGTGGCGCGGGCACCAAAGCGCGACTTCATTTCAATCTCCTTCCGAGGGAAATTTAGTTTCGTTCCGTAAATAACGAATAAATTTAAAGTTCGCCTTTATACGGTTTTTTTCTTCTGCCCTCGTGATCGCAGAATAGGCGATAAATATGGATAACAACGTCCATTCGAATCGTTCGATCCTTGGTGTATCAATATAAATAGAAGTTTTCGGTCGAGCTGCTCCTTCAAAAAGGATAAATATCTGGATATAAAGGAATCGGCGTTCGAATGCGATGTATCACGGCATTAGATTATTGAAAGCCAACAGGGTGGACACGGGCCGAAAGGGACATTTTTATTTTAATCCGAGGATTGATGCGATCTTTAAGCTTCCAACGCGCGAATTTCCGTCAAAAAAGAACGTGATTTATATCACGAGGATCTTTTACGGTGCGGTGAATCTCGGATTATAAAGAACAGACTTTTTGACTTTTTATTGGCTTTCTGGTTTTCCTTTCCGGCGGTTGTTCGAGACAGTCGCTGGAAATTAGAAACGATGCGAAAATGAAGGACACGAACGATCGCTTATTGAATTTTTACTCGACGAATCTTCCCGGATAAATTGAATACGTGCCCGTTATTTACGGATCAAAAATATAAAATGAAAAATAATAACACACAAACTAATATAAAATTGATTCAAATGTCCACGTAATGGACTCTTTGATTTTGTTTTATAATTGAATATATGTGAATTTAATTTTTTTAACCTCGTTTACGGCGTTTATGAAATCTGCACCAATGCATCGATAATGCTTGTCCTTTTACGGTATTGTAGAAAACCAAAAAAGATTCTGCCATATAAAGTTCGAAAGCGATTAATCGCAATGGTGGTGTTACTTTATTAAGCATAAAAATATAAATAGAGCTTTCTATAAAATTTACGACGCGAATAATCGCAATAAGAGCGCCGTTATCGGTAATGATTTGTCGCCGATTTATTGGGCTAGGATAACAGTAATTTTTCTACATTTTTCCATTTCAACCCGATTGCATTGGCTTAAGATTTGTATTGTGGGTGTTAAAATATAGAAAAATCGACCATTCGAAATCGATGAGTTTTCTATCAATTTTTTTCAGTCGTAATCAAAACGAAGCTACAAGCGCCGACTTCCATTACATTTAATGTAACTACAAGTATATTCTAGCGACTTACTGGGAAAAAATTTATCGATTTAATAACGCCTTTCGGATCCATAAAAATTCATGGGCACCGACCCATCAATTCCTAAAGCACATTCGATTTTTTTCTTCACTTTACTCCCCGTTCGTGGTGCAGATGGCGCCGTTTCCTTCGATATCGTTTAGGCTACGCTTTCCGAAAACGCTGTTAGACAAGACGATAACGGCGCTAAGGACATTTTTGTGGAAGGCGACATCTTTGATCATTTTCCGATTGGCAACTTTGAAGGATAATATCCGGTGAACATTTAATAAGGTGGCCAGGACCGGACGTAATAACCCGCTTCGGGTAAACAAGACGTCGTTACGCACCCTCCGAACAGGGTAAGACAGCGGCGTGCTTCCAAAAAATTCTACATAACATGTACATTCGAGTATAGTGTACCATTATTGCGAAAGGATAGTTAGTTTTCTAATTTTTCAATCGACTATTGGGATGTTTAATATTTACAAATTTCTTCACGACGTGCATGAAGTAACCCTAGCTGTGGTTGATATTGTATCAAATTTTATTAGTAAATATCATTTCGAGCGGGGTCGTTCGTCCTTTCAAGCGAATCAATTTAAGTATATTTGTACAAGATGGGCAACGATTTGTATACTCGAAGAGCGTTATATAAATATTGGCGTTGTACCTAGGAAACCGATATTACGACTACGCAGAAGTACAAGTAGAAGCGAAAGGATTTCCGCGTTCAAAACGTGTTCGCCGCTTCGTTTATGGGTATCCTTATTATTTGCGATCGTGAATACAGTTTATACAAACGTTGCGTTAATCCGTGAATCAATGTTCGCCGTAGATTACAAACGAGCATGTTGTGTGTCCCTTTGTAAATAAAAGATTACAGGAAAAAAATCAGTCGACTATATCGAGGATTCTGCTGGATTACATTCATATTTAATCCTATTTGAAGTCATTGACTTTGACTCGATGTTTCAAGATATAACGAGCGTATTGTTTCGTTCGATAGGAGCGTTATGAAAAATATGGAACATGCTAATGGGATTGAGGAACTGCAGTTAAATCAACAGCTCCGAAATATGCCAGCATGAATAATATTAAAAATATAAACTAGATCCTGCTAACACAGCAGATGTATAAACACAACAAAATCTAATGAAATGCGGGGGGCAAAGAAATTGTGAATATACATATACAAAATGTACCCACATTATAAGAAGAATTAATATTCTTAGCTTACTAATGACTAAATTAAACAAATAGAATTTGTCTAAACTACCTCTTCGCATTTCGTGAGCAATTAAAATACGAAATAGAAAAAAAAAGCTCGAAATATTCTTTTATTTTCGTATAATTATGTTCTTATTCGAGCTTTCTGCCGACTCCAAATTACCATTATCGGTATTCCAATCTAAGTTTCATTAAATTGGTTATAAATATATGATTTTAGGGTGTCAAACAAGCTTCTCGCGTGACTAGTTTAACAAAACGAATTATCACTAAAGTCAGACTATAATAAAAAACCGTACTTTCTGTATTACAAATGAAGAACGAATCGATACGTATAATTATAACCCAAACACTTTAATTAAAATTACGTATTCTCGTGAGAGTAATAACATCAAAAACTTGCATTTATACATCCTCCTCATACTTTCACATTCGCATTGAAGCCTCCGGAAAAGCCGACAAACTCTTCTATATATAAACATGACTAATTAGATGCCTTTTTGACTGTCTCTTGTTTACGTTTGAAATGTGCCTATCACGACGCACTCTTTTGAGGTTTCCCAGTTAACGAACTTTTCAACCAACTTCTCTTTAATAGAAATCCCTCAACCGTTGAATTTTCCGAGCGGGGTTTTCGCGCTGCGAATGTACGAGCGCCGTGTCATCGCCAGATATTAAACTTTAGGTTTTATTAGTTTGGAAACAAGCATGTGGGCGAATTCGACAAAAAAATACCGTCTATTTGGTTAGATTGTACAATCTTTCCAATAAATGGAAGTAAAGAAATTCATTTTCATATCTCGATCAACGGGGCCTTGCTCCAATTCGCATGCGGCTAATTTCGTTTCCCTTCAAACTCGAGATTATCTTTCCATTTTCCTCGGTAAATTAGAACCGTTCGCTTTTTCGATCTCCTCCCTGTCTATCCACATGTTCCATAATTCAATAAGGTCGAATCGACGTTAAGAATCAGAAAGCTCTTTCATTCTACTCATTATTTTTTTATACTTATACAGCCAGATTTTCGATCAGGTACGTAGGAGAGACTTATTTCCCGAGGAGCATTTGCCGTTGACAAGAAGCGAGGAAATTGTTTTTGTAAATTACCTTCCTTGCAGCGAGTCGAATCGATGCCTATCGCAACGTTTTAAAACTTTCCGCGAACTGGAAAAGATGCCTGGATGACATTAAAAGCAAAGTTCGCTCGACATCGAGAGCCTTTTCTATCGGACAGGGGGAAATAACGGACGCGAAACAATCACAGCGGGGTGAAAAAATCGCAACTGCGAAAAAACCGAGAGCGTCTTCGGCTCCGGAAACCGCTAAACGGAAGACGAGATTGACAATGGCTAACTCGTTTTTGTGTCCGCTTTTTTTTATATTTTCCACCACCATTTGTCAACGAGACATTTATCGTAAATTCCATTTGTACACCGTCGCAGAACGGCAAACATTATAACTGAAATATTATTGAAAAAAATTGAACCGAGACCTCGCGTTAATTAACTGCTGTAAGTCGACGAAGCAATCACGCGATTCGCGTGTAAAACACCACGAAATTTATATATTTAGATGGAATTCGATGTCAGGTGGAGATGGTGGGCGTCGATAAGGGCTTAACTTGTTTGCCTAAAGTTTGTTAATCGCCTCCCAAAGAATTTATTTCTTTCGTTATTCGCCGAGAAACGGGCACGGGACGGGGATTGTTTACAATCTAGACGCGTTGTTACCAGCTACAAATAAGAATTAATCGCCCTGGTTTTTGCCATCCAGTAAAGTTGAGTGTGTTTATTGCTGCATTAATAAAATTATTTAACCCGCAGTAACTTGTAACGAAACTCTCCTCGAGTATATTCAAATACTTGCTTCAAATTCTCTAATCTTCATAAACATTTTCCTTCTCTCCATCTTCAAACCTTAAATTCGTCGCTGCGGAATAATTGCACGTAGAGATGTCTTAACGAGACTTTTAATTACCCGTCGTAAATCGTCATTTTTTTTCTTTTTCAACGTCAAGACGGGGTTACGTCAGCCCTTTTCCTTCAATTGAGGTAAAACTAAAACAGTTTGTAAACATTAAATCATATTAACGGCCCTTTCGACGTCGGGAACCCTTCCGTCGACGACGAATTGAAATAAAGCGAGGCGAATTTTCGTCTAATGAATCTCCGCGAAGAAAAACATATTTGTATCTATTGCGGGATCGTTAGAATGATTTGTTTACCGCCTCTCTAGGTATCATTTACCGTAGCGTTAAGTAACTCGGAATTGCCCGAGCAAGGAAATTCAGACGCCACTTTGTAGATGAAAATGTCTGGTATTCGAGATAATAAAAATACAAATTGCCGGTGGTGCGGCTTTTTTATAGAATTACGACGGCGTTAACAGCTACTTTATATCCCTTTTGTTTACCAGCAAAATAGCGAATTAGGTGATTTTTTTTAGAACTTTGTTTTACGAAATTGCCCTTCTTTCGGTTTTTACAAATTTTAATTGTCGTCGTTTCTTTGCAGACGGAAGACGAAGGTAACCACGGCAACGACGATACTCGGTGCTTCATACTCTCCACTTTGGCGTCGCAGGGAAGATCGAAGGTGCACTGCGTGCTGTGCGCCGAGCAGTTGCTGGTCTTCGACAGATATCCCTTGGTCGATGGAACGTTCTTCTTGAGCCCGCGACAACACGCCTCCAGCTGCATCGAAGTAAGTGCATTACACAACACTTTCCACCTCAGTCATCATTCTTCATCCAATCTGACCCAGTTGATGGTCCAGTTGATGCTCCAGTTGATTCTTAATATAATGTGTTTGGTTTGCAGGTGAAGGTAGAAGGTCGTACCCAGTTTCTGACAGTAGTCTGCATGGGTTGTTTGGACGGAGTAAACGGCCGAGCCATCGTGTGCAGGTTCTGCAAACAGAAATGGGACGGCTCGTCCTTGGTCCTAGGCACCATGTACTCGTACGACATATTCGCGGCGATGCCATGTTGCACCGAACGGATAAAAGTAAGTTTTGTGTGCGAGATTAGGGTGTAAGGAAGAGATCGAAACGCGCGTTTGTTTGATTGCAGTGCAATTCGTGCTACAAACCGGTCCTGTTGCCGAACCAACGGTTGAACTTCTTCAGCGATTACAGTCACATGGTGCCCTGTCCGCATTGCCGCACGTTGGACACGCACTTCGTGAAGCCGTTGGGCTTCTGCTACGGCCGTCAGTTGTCCAGGCCGTTGCAGGTGATGTGGCCATAGCACGTGGCCCCCCGAGTCGTGACCAAGGACCCACCGACGCCGCCATCGCCGCCCGATCCGAATCCCATGGATCTCGATTTGGGTTTGTTGTGGCGCGAACTGGCGGGCCTGCGACTCGACGAGTTTTGCCGGTTACAGCTCACGCGAGCACGGTAGACTTCCCCTTAGTTTTCTTTGTTATGTTGTTGCATTTTTTATTGTTCTCGGATGGATTTGCGATGTCGCCGGTTTAAAGAGCACGCCGAAATGTTAATGGTACATCTAATTTCTGTATAGGTGTATTTAACATATTTTTCGTTTTTATTTTTCATCGACTAATCCCACTCTCCTCCATAGGTGTATCTATGAATTAACGATTTGCTATTTGCAATTTCGTTGGTTATTGTGGATATTTTTAAGTAGCGAATTTTATTTTAATAATTTTATTAGTGTCGAAAATTAACTAACAAAATTGGACTGACGAATTTCGTAGCATTCCATGACATTTTAGAAAATTTTTTAACATTTATTTCTTCATTCACCTACTTCTAGTTTAATTTTACCCGGGTGAGTTTTAGAAAGTTCAAACAATTTCGAAAATTTCATTCATATACAATTTAATTCCTATCGAATGGAGAGGTATCTTCATTTTTGTTGAAGGTACACTACTGTTTTATTAGTAGGTATACAAATTATTTGAAACAAAATTGGAATTAATTTGATATTTTTTTAATAACATACGAAACTCGTTTCATAAATAGAAAATTGAATTCGCGACATCGTAAATTTAGACTGTAACTTTTTTTATCGCATTTATTTTTAGGTAGGTCCATGGTATTTCGCGTTTCGGTTGGCCGAATCGCGAACTTTGGGCCCTTTCCTTAGATATGTGTACTATATAAAACCGTTATGTTATTAGTTTATTGTATATGTTTGTTAGTTTTTAGTGAATTTATATTCGAAACTTGAGTCTTTTTATATAAAGAGAAATTGAAAGAATTGTGATTATAACGTTATCTTTTTTAAGTTTAACTCGAATTTTGCGACGCAAAAGCAGGTCTACGTCAGAAAAATTTAAAGACGCTGACGATAAATCTATAAAAAAAGCAATCCCTCTTTTGTGTTTCTTTTAGGTACATTTTTAATGTTAGAATTTGCACCTGTGTTGGTTTTTTACGGACTTTACTTAAATATTTGTAAGTAAACAGTATAATAATGATTAAAATAACATAAAATTGCTGTGTCCCAATAACTAGTGATAGGTGTGAGAGGCGCCCGAAGTGGAGGCGTGTATGACTGGAGTGTGAGAGTATCCTGTTAATCGTTAATCAATGTTTGTGATGGGTTTGAGGGCATGTACGCGTGACGACTTTACGGGCTATTCAATTTTCCCCAACTCAAAACCCTTTATATTATTTCTTTTTTCATCTAAATACTTGAACAGTTGGAGATCTGGCTTGAATTGCGTACAGTCTTCGCACCATGTTAGGTTTTTATTTGGGTTATTTTGAAGAAATTAGTATTCTTGTCCTGGTATTGATATGTATGCAAGGGAATTGGTCCTTGTAGTCGTCACGTGATTTACGGTTCAGGGACGGTCGGTCTCCCTGCAGAGAATAGCACACACTGCCACATCATCATTTAGCACCAGTTTCTATCTTAAATTCAGTCAGCGCATCGACCATCAAGGTAAACGAATTTCAAAAAAAAAATAATTTAAAATTATTTATTTATTATTTTCTAGGAGTTTTTTTTAGAATATACTTTATTGTTTAGTTGAATTTTTTTATATTATTATAATATTAAGTTTTTAAATGTTTATATTAGTATTTTTTTCGTAGTCTTTCATAGTTTAGGTGCGTTTTTTTTGAAAGATCTTTTTTTAGTAAAAGGGTTATTTAACTAGTGAATAATTTTATTTAAATATGTTTTGCCAATGTGTTATTTATCTGTATTTGGTTGTGTCTCTTTTATTTCAAATTTTATTACACAAAGTGGTTCAAATTTTTTTTAAATAAAAAATTGGAATTTTCTCCTTTAAACATCACTTTGATTTTTCACTTGAAGTACACGTAAAAATCGTTATCATCTTGCAAATATTACAGTAGAAATGAAATTTTAGGGGGAGAATCAAAACATTCGTTCGACGAATAAATCATTTTGTTTCGAGTCTTTTAGCATCGCTTTCGTTTTTGTTGTTCTGATTTTATGATTGTTACAAAAACTCAAAAATCGCGAATATATTTTTGTTGGGTCTTACCTTGACTCGGAGAAAATGACTGCATCTAAGATACATTCGCTGCACCCGAAGCCTTTTCAAGAAACGGACGTACAAAGTACCACTCAGCCGCTCAGTTATCCGCAATTACCTCAAAACTGTAAAAAAAATGAATTTCTGATAGTAACGTTAAAATAGGAAATATTACGTCGAGGCGTTATTATCAGCTAGTGGATTTATTAGAAGATCCGTCCGTTGCGAAGCGAACGTTCGAGATATTGAACATTTACTGCCTAAAACTAACGAAGTAGCCGTTCGACATTCGCTTTCAAATTATATCAATTCGACAATAAAATGAACGGGCGTTCGCTTTCGCAGAAGACGGAGCTTTTTTCTTCGAAATATATTAACACCAAAATCTCCGGGTAGATTCGGTGTTGTACTTGTTTCACGAGATGAATGTTGTTTTTACTGAAGATGCATGTGGCGGAATTAGGAAATTGCTTCAAGTACAAACCGTTCGTTACTTTTGCAAATTTTATATAATAAAAATATTTAACATATAATCTATTGTTGAGGGTAAAATAATTCCTATCTCCGTGTTTTTTTTTTAGCCAAAGCATTTAGTTCGCGTTTCTTTTTAAATCTAACTTATATCGACCGACTTGATACAAAAAAAATCTAATGTTGCGCGTGTGTGAGCGAGCTTAAGTAAACGTATAAGCGTAGCGTTATCCTTTAAGTATAGTCCTTTAGTAGTAGTTAGTAGAGTGCTGAAGGTTGCTTTTATTTCGTTCGCTTCACATTTCCCGCTACTATATCCCTTCTGTACGACTAACATCTTACTACATTTGCTCGTTACAGGAGTTTTATTACTAAAATTTTCTTAATTGGATATCTACATGCAAATATAGGGAATTATGTATAACGATAATGTGCGGGGAATGTGGTTAAAAGTGATGTTTCTAAATTTTGCAACGGCGATGAGCACTCTATTTCCTGCATGCACCCCACTCGCTTTGCTCTAACCAGACTCTAGGATGTAGAAAGAGACAGAAATTAAAATAAAACAGCTTCATTATAAAACGAGGCCTAATTTGACGGTCTAAAAGTTTTCTAATTGCGAGAGAATCAATCGTGTCTTTTTCTCTGAAAGAAAATATGTACATAAATTTTTCGAAATCGATAAAAATAAAGTTAAGATTAAAAAAAAAAAGCTATTTAAGAGAGAAAGAATTGTCGAAAGCGATAGAAATCCCCCCATTTTTTTTGTCTAATGTTGTTTATTCGTTTCCACTTTTTTCAAATTGGTATTAACGATAATTGTATGTCGATTTAATCGTAAGTCTAGTGCGTAGTCGTTTTTTACAAGGATAAAAATTTAAAAAATACGAATTTCTAGGTGTAATCGTTTTTTGAAAAGAGGCGCGGCACCCCAAGCTGGTGCGAGGACCAAATCGGTGGCTGCCAGAGCTCGACTCATTCTACTACGATTCCCGCGGGAATTTCTTAAATTGATTCAATTTTTTAGCCGGTCCTGCGTCCTCCGTCCGCGAACACGATTCGACCACCCTAAACTACTCACCACAAAAAAGACTGCACTCTTATCTAAAACACTCTGTATACAGGGTGGTCTTTTTAATCATCTAAATGAATTATTTTTTTCAATATAAAACAGTATTAATAAGCAATAACTTAACGTGAGTATTTTGATCGTTTATTCAGTACTAAATTATAAATTTAGCAATCGAATATAATAGAGCAATAAATAATGTGTCCTAAAGTTGGTCGAATCGTGCGCGCGCATAAAAATCATGTTGATAAGGCTGTCGATGCACAATATTTAACACACGAGGCGCAATCAGGGTAAGGGTCGTATCGTAGAGCACCACTATATGTAATTTAGAGTAGCTTGGCTGCAAGTAGATAATGATATGTAATTTGTGTGTGTCATGCTTTTGTCGCTAGCGATTTTTTCGTACAGCCTGCCGTCGATCACGGGAGCACCGTCGAATCGTTCGTTCGTTAATCGTTTGGCTGGAAATCATCGAGAATCGAACCCCGAGAGTTTAATAAATTGAAACGATTCGCGTTGAGCGCTAATTTCGCGTGGAAAAGCAGTATTAATTGGTGGTGTTTCGTTGATTTCCGGTACTTAATATGTAAAAAAATATGATCAAAATTGTACATTAAAAATTGGCGATAGCGTTTACCCGAAAGTAATAATGAAACTGATTCAAGAATTTTGTGATATATATTTTTATACATGGAGAAATTTTTAGCGTTAGACGTAGGGACCGCCCGGATTTCTTAACTATTTTTTCTAATTGGCTCAAAAATGAATTCGCTGACGAGAAATAGACGGAGTGGTTCCGTCGAAGTGTGATCGCAAATTTCGTATTGTTAGGGACAAAAATTGGTGATAAATTTTTTATAAAAAAATCTATTGGAAAACGTCGAAAAAAATATATCGGATCGAAAATATTTTATACGGCAAATAAATGTGTATAACGATTGGTAGAATTTAAGAATTTTTCGTAGGATTAAGGTCGTGGACGTGATTTTTTTTAGTTAATTACCCCGTGATCGAACGGCGCTCTCGTTGCTTTTGCGTTTTCGTGGTCATGGAATTCAGAAAAATACACTTACCCTTTGGTTTTGTATGACTTGTGTGTGCGTGTATATTAATTCGCTCATTTCGTACAGTTTTCTTTTTGTCGACTTAAATATATTTACTTAAAAAGCAAGAAGTTTCTTAAGTTTCGCGAAAAACTGTACAGAAATTGAACTCGTTGATTTGGATTGGAGCGATTTCGTTTATACCATGATATTTGCTAAGTAATTGAGTTCCAATTGAAATGCTTATTGATTTCGCATGATGAAGATGATTCTGGATATTGGACTATGTGAGTTGTAACGATTAAATGAAACAAATCACTTGCTTAGCTAACTCAGATGTAAATTTGGTCTAGGAATATTTAAATAGGTACATTTCACTTGTGACTAATATTAAACAATGAATGCTTTATTCTACTAATATTTGCATTAATAAGAAAATATAAAATATATTTCCGAAAGTAAATTTATAGTCTATATTGAGAGTATTTCATGAAAAATATACAATAAATATTTATATAGAATTGAGTATTGGTAGAATAAAGTGGAAGAGTAAAAATAAAATAGCAAATGCTTTAGGTTTTTGTTTTAGTAAAAGTGTTGATCGTTATTTCGTTAAATTCCGTTCAGATATTTTCTGAATACCATTGGCCGATTTTTTCCTATCAGAGTACAAATTTTTCATAATATTAACACCTATAATTATTAATTAATTAATTAACAAATTAACCATGTTTTCGGTGTTGTAGTCTTGTGAGGAGAATACGCTATTTTAGCGGCCGTTGTAGAAGTTAGCCGCTAAAATGCCCCCTCGCTGGTTTTTTCATTAAACATATTATCATTATGATATCTGACGAAGGAGACGATGGCACGCTACCACTGAAATTCGCACAATAAATAACCAAAAATTTCTACTTAACATATTATTGTTTGGGTGCAAAATAACCAACCGGTTTAGCCATTCTTCTAAGCAGTAAAATATGAGCGTTAATCGATGAGGTAATATTTGAGTATTTCAACTCTAATTTTATAAAAATTGTTTGTTGTTAAATTTGTGCCATTTATTTAAATGATGCTCTTAAAAAATTATACGATTTGCCTATAAAAAAAGTATCATTTAAGAAACCACTGCTTTCGTTATCGGTTGAAGCATGCGTTAAATTGATAGAACAATATCGAATTTTGGGTGGCTAGTGCGTCGTTCTCCTAAGGAATCATTTTATTATTATTATTATAATTATTATTATTATTGGAAAGTTGAAAGTTTGAGAAGGTAGTTTATGTATGTTTATAGCGTACTGTAGTAGCGCGGTGAAAAAAAGGTTCAGGAAGGGGAGCAGAGGACCGTGCCTGCGCTCTGCATTACCTGCTCTATAGTCCCATTTTAGTTTTAGGGCCGGTATTACTTTAGCAGAGCGAGGAGCAGGTCAATTGTTTTATCGATACGATATCGCTGTTGTTTTTCTTACTCAGGGCAGCCAGCGGACCCGCGCGGACATCCATACGCAACGATAATTGACATTCCAAAAACGAAAAGTGCATTGTAAATTACGAATTGGGCGCATAAATCTCGGTCGAAACCCTTTGTCGTTCCGTCGTTAACCCATGTAAAATTTAACAACCCCCGAATCGCGCGTAACCGACCATAAATTTCGCTAAACGTTAGCGCACAACTCATAAACATAAATTTTAATTTCCAATATATTTAATGGATTTCGGCAAGGGTCCAAGAACGTTACAAATCATATGGTGATTACTGATTGAGTACAAATGCTGCTCCCCTATCCCGCACCGATTTTATTATTATTATCATTATGATTATTATTGATAATTAAATCAGAGTTTAGCAATTGAGCAATATCATCAGAGGTTTATGTATTTTTTAGTTTTTTCGTTTCGTTCGGTTTTCGATGAGCCTCGACTTCGTTTCGATTAACATTGTATCAAACTTGTAACAATTACTAACAAATTTTCTATATTTTAAATCCATTCAACTCTACTATTTGTTGAAATAATCCTAATTTACATTCCTTAAAAACTATCTCCTAATCTTAGAAAAAGTCTACTAAATTGTACTTTGTCGAAAAAGGATTATGCCTTAACATTTACTTAAGCTTTGGGTTGAAATAAATATATAAAGTTTACCATAAATAAATAATGTTGCGATCAAATAAAAGCAATAATTTTTGTTTTTACATCATATCGAAATGAACGTTGCGGTTGCATCTCAACTACAATTCCGGTGGAATTTGTGCACAACGACGACTCGAAAGCAATATGTGCCATAAAAAGGATTAATACCAAATAAAAAAGTCGATGCGCGCAAATTCAGTCGGGACAATTTCATCAAATTTATTCTTACTAAAACAATGTATTTATAAAAAAAACTACTAGAGTACCTATTAAGGAGGAAATGATTTGTTAAAACGCCAGGAACTTCCATAAGGTTTATTGAAGGTTTTGATATTGATTTCGTTAATATTCTGCGACCTTCAATGAACGAACTTAGATTTGTAAATTATCTATTTGTAACTTTAGGCTAAACGCCACATCGAATTCGTTCAATCTCTCAAACAACTTCAATCAGAATTTTATACTAAATGTATAGCGCATTTTGCCCGGATTGGTCTGAAAGAACCGTTTTCGGTTTCGTGAAATTGTATTTATTCAATTCGAACGCAGATTGGACGACGTCGACAGGGTATTGAGTATGTGGAGATGTTTTTATATGCGTGAAAAATTTGATATCAATATAATATATGAAATGATCGAGCTTTTGACGGCTTTTTATATATGTAATACAATGGGATTTACAAAGTTTTAAGACGTAATAAGTATAACCATTGTCTAAAAACCTTTGTTTTATTTCTCAACCTTACCTTACAGAAATTTATCTACTATAAAAATACTAAGTTAGGTACTATAATTTTGCAATTATGCATAGTTATTCGAGACATGCTGTGTGATGTAACTATTAAAGGGTATAAAGAACATTTTGATGAAGTGAAAAAAAAAATTGAAGAAACTAAAAACTTTGTGTTTATTTGCAAAAAGAATCTAAAGAATAAGTTTCCGAGAATCAAAATATCGATTTTCGAATCCATTTATTTATATAATATAATATATATAACAGAGAAATTTTTCCAACAAAATGATTAACTGTAGTGAGTTAATTAGTGACAATTAGTGATTAGAATCAATGACTACTAGAGCTTTATACTATACAGTGAGAGTGTAAACGTTAATAATTTTTGGACATCCTGTACATATTACTGAATTTTTGAAAAGTGTAACATAAAATTTGAACATTAAAGTAAACGCTGCAAAATTAGAAAACTCGATTTTTTTCAAAAACGGCAAGGTTATTTTCATCGTACAAACTAAAAATGAAATAATAAATAAGACATTCCATTTAAAAAAATTTAAGTTATAGTCATCTCATTTTTGGGACATCCTGTATAAACACTCACAACCTTTTATGACCCGCTTTTTAAAATAAAAATCGACGTGTCCGAGCTTTTATTCCCCAATGGATAAATCAAAGCATTTAACGAATTTGTTCTTTACACTCTCACTGTATAATAAGAAAATTATAATAGAAAAGTATTTTTTTTTTCAAAATTTTAACACTATACACTGTAGTTCACTGTAGTTCGAAAACTAAGAGGTTTCGGACATACATTGATTCAAACTTTTCTTCTTAAAATCATCCAAATTTTCACATTCTAAATATCGGCATTCAATTAATTAACACCCTGTTCATAAACCACACCTGCTCCTAATAATTCACAACCCTCTTTACCCTCTTATATGCAATCAAACCCGTCCCGGGAGAGACCGAACGCGATTCATAAAAAAAAAGTCGACGGTAATGAAGGCAGGAGTCGTGTTTACAAGTAGGTCCCTCGTCTTGTTGGTATTCATCGGACATGTGTAATCAAGCCGGAATAACTTCTACTCGCCAAGTTCGGTACAGATATCCCGGCCACTCCACCCCAATTTCTCCAATTTTATCTCCGCGGAGAATTGGAAACACGAGAGCCGCACAGGGCCCCGTAAGTTGGGAGTTGTGATTGTTGAGCGATGGAGATGATGTTACTACCTTGTTATTTGGTAATTTTCCTCGTTCGGCTGGATGCAAATTCGCCTTATTTATTCGGTAATTGGATTTTTAACGAACTAGTTATATTTTGATTGCCTGCGTAAATTGTCATGCAAACCGCACCGATTTCTATCTTCCAATTTATACCAGACGGAGTAAATATGCGCTAATATTAAATTCCACTCGAAGCTTATCTCTGTAACGTTGTGTACGGTTCGAAAAATTAATCAGCAACAAAGATTACGCCGGCGAAATCTTAGAATTTAAATTATTCCTGTAGGTACTCCTTTGATATTCCTAAAATCACCTAATATCCCCGTAATCCTACAAAAAATCCAATCAAACCGCATCCCGCATGTGGAGACCAGAAAGTTAATTTAGTCAACCATACGGCCTACTCGTAAAGGGATATTGAAAAATTCTTTATTTCGCCCGAGATTGCGATGAGATAGGATTTTGATGAGATTGGATTTTGTTATCAAAACACATAGCTCTTCAAACATCGAGTATTAATAATTTTCGATTTATTTTTGCTTCGCGTATTTAAAGAAGATAATCATCGACAACTTTGTTTTATCTATAGTTTACTTTAGGTAACACTGTTTTAATGTAAAATTTTCCTGTTTGTTCTCTCACCGCATAATAATATATCATATTTTAGAGAGGTTGTTGTTAGGTAGTATTGAAACTTTAATCTAGCTTATTACGTGTTATTTGAATGCAAATACCGGCGTAATTATTGTTGAATGCTTAATGCAGTGTAGTTAGCTTCCCACTCGCCGGTTATTAATCTGTATTCGATATTTAATGGTATACACACATAGTATCACTATTACATTCTACGGTTACATTTGCAAACACTTGTCGATCAATTTGAACCCTTAGCAATCAATTTGCTCTTCAACGTTCAATTAGCGCTCAATCAAAATCCATATACCTACATAATTTACAGTCCTTTGAAGTGTTATTTGGTGGTATTAGTAATGCATTGGCTATTTTTAGCGGGATGCTAAAACTAAAGAGTCGATGATGGGCTGTTTGTTATGCGTCCCCGGTCCTCGGCCGATATGCATTCGACGCCGGGACGTCAGCGTCGCTCGTTTGTCAACCCATCTTCGAGTCTCCTCTCGATCGCTTGACGGCGAAGGGTCGCTAATCTGAATAACGGCTCGCCAAACATTCCTGATGTGTCCCGAGGCCCTTCGGGGAATTTTATTGGCGACTTTCGGCCTTTATTTTCCTTGTTCCGCGTAAATATTGGCCGCGAACGTGATGGTAATTTGTGATTTTTTCGTCGAATGCTTAAGGAGGCTCTATTAGGGATGAAAAGGACATTTTCGTGAATGTCGAATTTGAATCGAAAGTCGCGTTCGGTCACGCATAAAAATTAGATTTCGCATTTCCTCCATGCATTATTCAACCCGGTGCTGGGTTTTGTTTATTCCTCTGCAGTTCCCGGTCTATTTTGAATCTTATTTCGTTACATGATTAATGAGAGCTTTAATTTAGTGTGGATATTTATGTACATTGCTAGGTGACCAATAAAAGTAGGTCACGTCATGTATTGAATCGATTATATTATTTTGTAAGTCATATTGCATTCAGTATTTTATTCAGAACTTCTCTATCTTATCTAAAAGTATATATTAAGATTAAATAATTACTTATTTACTCAACTTAACTTAAAAACCCCAGTGTTTGATAATTCGCCGTACAGTTCGCACTACAAAAATGCTTTATCAAAATAACGGTGCTTATAAAATTCCAGTTCTAGGACTTGGTACATTCCTTGTAAGTACTTTCAATAACTTATATAATTTCTGTTTTATTATTACTCTTAAATTATATCGTTTGCTCCATATCCGATTGCAACATGGTCATTTCTATGAGTGGAACAAAGAAAGATTAATAAAATAACAGTTGTCAGAGTGAAAAGTTGCAATGACACAAATGTCATTCTTTCCGTTTTTCTTTATAAGTTGTCTTTATCGCACCTATGGCCTATATAACCTATAGTATGTTGCGATCAAAAATGGAGCAACCTGTATACAAATCAATACAAATATTAGATTTATCTATATTTATCTATATCTATTTTTGAGTAGAGTACAGATGAACAAGTTTTGAAGAACGTTCTAAACGCAGCTTTAGAGCAGGGCTATCGCCACATCGACACTGCTGCGGTGTACAAAAACGAACACATCATTGGGAGCGTGTTGAAAGAATGGATATCATCAGGAAAAGTGAAACGAGAAGATTTATTCATAACCACCAAGCTACAACCCAGCTTTCTATTTGAAGATAAAGTGGAAGAAGCTATGAAAAGCTCTTTGGATAACCTGCAATTGGATTACGTCGATTTGTGGTTGATTCACTTGCCGATCGCTATGAAATACGAAGAGGGCGGGAAATTGGAGCCGCAACCCACAAATTTGGAGGCCGTTTGGAAAGTAAGCTGGTATATATATTTAAACAAATACCTCTACCTAATAATCCTCAAAATTTAGAAAATGGAAGAACAAGTCGACGCAGGTAAAACGAGGACGATCGGCGTGTCCAATTTCAACATATCGCAGATACAAAGAATCAAAAACATCGCCAGAATCCAGCCAGCGAATCTTCAAGTCGAAATTAACTTGTTTTTCCAAAACAAGGAGCTGGTTCAGTTCGCACTCAAAAACAACATGTCTGTGGTCGCTTACGGTCCGTTAGGTAACCCAGGACTTCCTGCTGCTCGAAGAGAAGGGTAAGTCAAAAATTTACCACAATTAATCAACTGCAACAAATTCTTTTTTATGCAGATTACCGAGCGTGCTCGAAGACGAAACTGTTAAGAAAATAGCCACTAAGCACAACAAAACTGCAGCTCAGGTGGCGTTTAGATACTTGGTACAAAAAGGTCTTGTGACCATACCAAAATGCTCGAGTGCGGCGAGAGTGAAGGAAAATATTGACATATTTGATTTTGAATTAGACGCGAACGATATGAAAGTTTTAGAGGGTTTGGACAGAGGTGAAGCGGCAAGAGTTTTCTCTATGAAACTCACACCTGGGTATGTATTTTATTGTACACATATATTTAAAGGGAACTGGTGTAAAGAGCGATTTTTTTTCGTATTCCAGTATTGAAGACCATCCAGAATTTCCCTTCAAGAATTGAAAGAAAATTATGCAAATGTATACGTGATTAGGAAACATGGCTTGTACACTATGCGTTAAATAAAGTGATGGCATTAAAACGTATTCACGAATTAAAATAGGATCTGCGAGGGTGCACTTAAAACCCTAAACTACTACAGCGAATGTCCCTTCTATTTCCAGATACCCTAATAATTCAGAAAAACCCTTTTCAAGCACCTTAAAACTAATTTATCCGCGGCGTGATTAAACATACGATAACGGAATTTTAAGCGCTAAAATACTTTTATCCAGCTACGTTAATTTGCTGAATCCCATTAGGTACAGTTATTTTAAAACAAACTTCAATCCAACCCCACGAAACTAAACATAATGTTGAATAGTTAGTAAATTATCTTACACAATATCACTCCGACGGAGCCACAGCCAGCGCCGGCATTTATTATTCATGAAAGGGAAAAAGGAAAGACAATATCTTAATGTCGTGGTCAGCGATCCAGGTCTCCGACTAATAAGTCCTTCTGTTACCGAAGTCCATTATCTCAACGACTTTCTGTCCTTAGGGTAATTAACGAGGACAAGATCAGAGACACTGGGGTTGATGTACTTACGTGCATCAATTTAATCTAATTAATAATAATCCTAGTTGGTTCTGAAGGTTTATTAATGAAACATTTTAGTAGATAAATTTATCGTTAATAGGTAAATGTTAAGGTAGAAATTGTATTCGTTGAATTAAATTCTTTATATATTGTCGTGGAATGGATATTCGGAATTTTCCACGATGCTAAAAAAATATGGATTATTGAAAATATAAATTGAATATCACACTTACTTAGGCGCTATATACTGCATGGTAAATATCTTCGCTTTTTTTCCTTTATCCAAATCCGCCAGTTTTTGCATGTCCTCGTCGTCTAAACTGAAATCGAAAATATCTATGTTTTCCCTCAATCTCTTCGGATTTGTACTCTTCGGTATAGCCACCAAACCGGATTGAATAATAAATCTCAAGGCTATCTGAGCATTAGTTTTCTTGTGCTTTTGAGCTATTTTGTCAACCACTTCGTCGTGAAGAATATCGGGCAATTTAACTTGCCTGCAATAGTAAAAATTATAATTAATCTGTTCTGGCAATATTTTTGTGTGTACTTACGTAATATTTTTACTTAGAAAATACTTATTTACACCAGGAGTGCCTAAAGGCGAGTAAGCAACAACCGTGAGGTTGTTTTCATTGGCGAAGTTGCGCAATTCCTTCTGTTGAAAGTACAAATGCATCTCGACCTGCACGTTAGCCGGCTGAATCTTGGCGATTTTTTTAATTCTGCTAATTTGAGTGATATTAAAATTGGAAACTCCGATGGTTTTCGCACGACCAGCCTCGACCTGCTCTTCCATTTTCTTAAAAACAATTTAAATTAAACAAACTCCTTTTACTGCGTAAAATATTTACCCTCCAAACTCCAACAAGATCGGTGGGATACGCCACATCAGCGCCATTCTCCACGCCAGTCGCGACCGGAAAATGTATTAAATACAAATCAACGTAATCCAATCGCAGCTTCAGCAATGAGGATTTTAAAGCGTTCTCCACGCGGTCGGGGAACACGTCGGCGCTAGCTAGTTTCGTCGTAACGAACAAATCCTCCCTTTTCACTTTGCCCGATGAAATCCATTCGTTCAGAACTTTACCCACGATGTGCTCGTTTTTATAACGAGATGCGGTGTCGATGTGACGATAGCCGATTCGCAGGGCTTCGTCTAACGCCGATGTCAACTCCGTTTCGTTAGTTACCTGGAAAAAATTGCATAAGAAATAGCTCGGAAGCGCAACAAGTTGGAAAGGGAATTTGTAAATTCTTTACCACTATTATTTTTTCTATTAACGTACCTACTTTTATAGTACCTACTTGGTACCTATTTATTATTATGATAATAACATGCATTTTATTTAATTTGAATACAACTAACGAGTGAAGAAATATAATTGTATATACTTACCGTATATGTACCAAGACCCAATGCAGGTATTTTATAACCTCCATTATTTCTATATTCCATTCCCCATGTCGCATTAAATAAAAACACAAGCAAACCTGCCGATAAAAAGGTATTCATTTTGGTAACACCTTCTCGCATGAAGTCTTTCAGCAAACTGATTTTTCGAAGCAGAGTATAAACAGGATTCTTCAAGGCCGATTACACTATGCTTATATTATTCAAGCTACACTTCTCTGTGTTTATTAATTTTAAATTAAGTAAAAAAAAATGAAATATTGCTCAAAATATATTACCTAATTTCTAAAGATACATAAATTTATACTAAAAATTTATTTTACTCTAACATTAAACCCACTGCATTTACGGCAAATTTTCACGGAACGGATATTCAGGATGTTTGGTCATCCTGAAAAAAACATCAAATTTATACATTAAAACCGCTCAAAAATTACTTAATGGTGCAAATTTAATCATTGAAATATTTCAACTTACTCTTTCGCCAAATTGAGCATTAGGAACACTTTGGCCTTTTTGCCTCTATCCAACCGTTTCAGAGCCAACATATCCCCATCGTCCAAGTGGAAATTGAAAATGTCGAAGTTCTCTCGAATTCGTTTGGGATTTGTGCTCCTCGGAATGACTACTAATCCGGATTGTAAGAGATATTTTAGAGCGACTTGGGCGTTCGTTTTCTTGTGTTTCTTGGCGATCGCGCTTATTGCAGAATCGTTGAAGATGTTGGGCAACGGAGCACCGCTGAAAAGGGACGAAGGACGAAAGTGGTGAAGAAATCCTGCGTGATTTGCGTTCTTACCTGGTCAGCGCTTCTTTATAAAACTGCGGCATAGCAGGAGATGCTAATGGCGAGTACGCAACGACGGTGATGTTGTTTTTTCTAGCGAAGGAGCGCAATTTATTTTGTTGGAAGTACAAGTGCGTTTCGATTTGGAGATTTGCTGGCTTGATCTTGGCTACGTTTTGAATCCGTTTGATTTGAGATATATTGAAATTCGACAATCCTATCGTTCTTGTTCTGCCGAGGGCCACCTGCTGTTCCATCTCCTACAATTGCATTATTTGTTTAATTGGAAAAACTCTAAAAAAACAGCTAACTTACTTTCCAAACTCCCTCTAAATCGGTAGGTAATGTTATAGCCTCTTTCTCTACCGTTATTTGTACGGCAACGGGAAAGTGAATCAGCCACAAATCAATGTAATCTAACTGTAGCTTCTTCAACGAAGTCTTTATGGCATTTTCCACCAACCCCGGCTGTTCATCGAATAATGATAACTTAGTTGTTATAAACAATTCGTCCCTTTTTAGTTTACCGGAGGATATCCACTCGTTTAGCACTTTACCGACTATGTGTTCGTTCATGTAAATAGCAGCCGTATCGAAATGACGGTAGCCCGTTTCAAGGGCCTCATTAAGGGCGGATGTAAGTTCAACTTCATCTCTTACCTTAAATTGTGTGTATATTATGTGTGTGTGAAAAAGAGTGTTATGAATAGCAAGAAAAAAAATTAAATGATTAAGTAAATAGTTAACTCACAGAGAACGTTCCTAATCCTAAAGCGGGAATTTTATATGGCCCGTTATTGAGGAATTCCATGCCATAAGATGGTGCAAAAATGCACGATAAAACTAAAATCAGGTATCTCATAATTATTTATTCGCGACACCGATAAGAGACAGAATCGATAAGAAACTTTTTAACGTGAAGCACTATTTTATACGGATGCGTCGTGAAGGCCATACAACCACAAAACAGTAATTAGGAACATTTTTTTCTATGAATTATAATACGCCTAATAGGTAATAGTAGAGTATCTATTAGCCCATTTCATGTACAAGAAAATTAATATTTTGGATAACGAATTTTATTGATAAAAATCTGTAATATAAATTTAAAGCATAAAATCCAATTCATACACTCGTATCAATTTCATTATAAAAAAAATCGTCCTCTTTATCCTATTACATCAAAACAGCCTTTTTCCGTATTGGAAAAGTTTCCCGGCGCTCCGGGGGAAGTATATCGGAAATAATCTTATACTTGATGAAAGATTTTTTTAAAAAGGGGATTCCTACACACTCACACACGTGGTCTTACACACGCTCGTCTTGTAATCTTTATGGAATAAGAATGTAGTTGGGAAAAAATCGAGTTGAGAACTTCGAAATTGAGAAATATTTTCCCGGGAGTTTCGCGATTTAAGCGAATGTGTGCCGTTCGAAAAACTTCAACGTATGGACGATCTTTCCGGCTGGTTCCTTCGAAACTTTTACCTAAATATTTATTTACCCATGCACTATAAGATATTATTTTGAACGATAAATATGATTGTAGTGGAAACTCTTGCATCACTGATTTTCTCATCAAATTGGTGGCCGAAGTTTCATAAATTCTTGTTTTAATGATTATTATTTTATGTGTACGATGATCCTAATAATCGTTCTCGTTTAATCTGCATGGCCTTCGAGAGCATTTTAAATGTGGACAAAATTTCTGGCTCTATATTACGCGCATAAATTCCAAGTTATAGCCCTTGACCGATCTACTTCAAAAATAATGACAACATAACAAGTAAAGCCGAAATCGTATTTGCATGGACAGTTATTCAAATAGCGATAGTCGACGCCGCATAGTTAAAGGGATATCAAACTATAAAATCGCGAAACGCCGTTTGGTTCATTTCTATCATCAACCCTGGATTTGATTAGATTATCAACCGCCAATTCATGTCAATGCAGCGGCAAATTAGCGATGGAAAATGAGCCTTCATTAATTTATAAATTAGTTCCAATTGATAGTATTGATTGGAAAATTGCATATCAGCGCTTTAGTGAAGGGTAAAGATAAAAAATATCGATAACTGACAGGAAAATGAGAATTTTATATTTTCTTGAACAGTAAAATTATATACTCGTTTGAGAATGATATTAAATGTATGTTACGGCTCTATCATTATTACTTGAAAATTTGTCGTAATTAGTCCAAAACCTCCTCTTTCATTAAACAGTAATAATAATATAATAAGTCATATAATATAATAATTAATAGAGAAAGGAATTTCATGTAATTCTCATCTTAATTCATTACTTCATTAGTACTACTAAAGTAATGCGTAGCTTAGTGACCACTGAAGATAATAATAGGACCTTTATTGGTAGTTTGGTGGTAAACTTTGCCAACATTATGAACCAAAAAATTTCCCTGTGTTCTGTCGTAATGCGGATAACGTAACCATGCCACAGGCGACTAGATACTGGACATATTTAATATTTGCCCTGGGTAACCCTACGACTCCTCAAATGGCACATTACAATTCCTATTTCCTAGGAAAATGTTAACCGAAACGACGGATTCTCGTCTAACTAACGGTTACTGCTCTATCGACTTCGTCCCGGTTGTGTAGGTATTATTAAAAATCGGGCACGGTGGAATACTTTTGTCTAGTAGTTTTTGAAAAAAATCCGTCTTTAAACGAATACCTGTGGAAGGGTTTGGCTGAAAGACACACAGAATGACGAGGGGTGGCTTGTTTCCACTTCAACTACTGGACGTGATAAAACAAAACAAACGTCCGTTTGCTTTAAAACGGATTTTTTTTCCTTCTTTCGAAGGGTTCGGGTTTTTTTCGACGCACGCCCAGCCGCTCGGACTTTTTATTAAGAGTTTCTCTTTTTTTTTTCGAATTTCGCTTGTAAAAGAATATATTGGAAACGGTGGGAGGGGTTGCTTTGAAAATGAAAGAAGTTTACCAACGGTCCAGCGCACGGTTGACAGGGAGATTCTTCTATAAAGCGAAAGTTTACCTCAGAAATCCCGCTTTATAAAAAAAATATGCTAAAAACAAACTTGAAAACAATACATTGAATTCCAACACGTCGGGTAATTTGCCAGTTTTATTAAAGTTTTCCAGCAATGAGGAAATGAAAGTAATTTATATAACTTGAATTAATAAAACGGGATACCTACCTATTCAAAAAAAAGTTTTAAAGGCAGTTTATATGGAAATGAAAATTTTAACGCGCGTCTACGTAACAAACAAAAAAGAAGAGTTTTTTTCTTTCGGAATTTATTTTCATTCACTACACGAGAAGTAGAAGACTGCGGCATAAAAATATAAAAGTTATCACGCGCATCTCGCTACAGCCACCTGTGTCAAATTAGCGAAAGACAAAACGGTCTCGACGTCGAATATAGTCGAGGAGAATATTCACAAAAATCCCTAAATATTTAAAGACGATTCTAAGATACTATCTGCAGGTAATAAATTTAAAATTAACCGTTGTTATACGTTAATATTTGATATCCGCTTGCGATTATTTTAGATCCTAAAGTAGAGATATAAATTGAAATTACAAGTTACAAGTTTATATAAAAATGTAACTGTTAATTCCTACAAACAATCTTACAAGTTTTAATTAAGCAAATTGGTGAAATAGATTAACTAAAATTAATGTATATTTGTTTTCCTGGTCTATAGAAGAGTTTTCTGCAAATTCCATTGGAATATTTTTTGTTTTTTCATAAATCTAATTTGCCGGAGCCGGTTTTATTTTATTAAAGGTCCTCCGGAGAAACGAACTTTTCCAGGAATCCCGAGTTGTCTTTAAATTTGAAAACAGGAATCATGAGGGACGTTCGAAAAAAATCTTTAAATATTCATAGAAAGGGTTTTCTCGGTTCCAGTTTCGCTCTTAAAAATGTTTTTTGCAAAATAAATATTACAATAACGCAAACTAAATGCAATTCGATTATAAAGAAAAACAAATCGAGTAACGTTGTCGAGCCGATCGGTATTATTTTTAGCCATACAGAACTAAATAATGCTAATATTAATAAAACGTTTATTGCTAAAGCGAATTTTATGAATGCCGCAGGGGCTACGAAATTTCAGCGGCGGCAACATATACATATAATATTCAAAACATTTATATTGCATGCACACAAACGCCCAACAACGTTATTTCTAATGATCTCATTCGGAACCAACCCAATTGCACCACAACATTTAGCAAAATATTAATCTTATGATTATTTTTATACACTGTTCTGGAACAACAATTAAAGAATGTAACCTGTATATGTAGAAATTTTCAGTTGAGTTATCTACTTATCTACTAAACTCCTTTTCGGTGGATTCGAAATGCTACTAATAAAGTTTAGATTAGAGTTCTGGATAGATTGATGTGTTCAGTTGACTTGTGCCTCGATGGTAATGCGATTGTATGTCGATGCATACGATGCAAAGGGTTGATATTCGCTGACAATCGACCTGTGTACACCGAGCTCGGCCAATGGTGAAATGATAGGGAAAGTATCGATTGAATTATTTCACAGACAAAACAAAAAGTGCAACAGTAACGAAGTAAATGTATGAAAGCGGAATTTTATGCATCCCAAAATCCATCTCCAATGCAAATATTAAATATCCTTAATCGCGGAAAACATTCATAATGATTACGGGAGGAATCCGGCAAGAAATATACTTAAAAACTTCCCCGACGTTAATCAGTCATCCATTATTGTGCGTCGAGGATATACCAGGCCCGGAAAAAAATCGCTATAAAAATCCCCTTTGTGCAAATATATCTGCTCCCGACAAAACTTTTAAATGAGTCACTTTTCGAAACAAACTTCCGATAATGAAAGCGAATTTAAAAAGAGAATTTAAAATATGGCGACAAAAGCTTTCGGGCCCGAATCTCCGAAGATTATATTTATAAAATATGTAGAATGACTGACGGGGAACGAATTCGCTAATGAAAACGATAAGAGGGCTTTTCAAAAAATAATCTGCGGAGGTATATCGGCTTTAGGGGATTGTTTCGTAACTGGGGTATTTTAGAAAAACGAACATCCAATGCGCGCACGTATATTCAGATTAATAATTTTCGAAATAAATAGGGGATTTAATTTTTCATTATAAATATTAAAATATTAGAATATTCTAGATAGCCCACTCCACTAAAACTACGTAAATCCTGAGTGTGTTTTTTTAAATTTCTCTTGAAATTAGTACATGGAATCCAAGCAGCGCCTGAACGACGCCGGCGATACCAAATTAATTATTTTTTTATTATTTAAAAGGCATATTGTTAAGTGCGCCCTAAACTTATTAGGGGCCCTGTTTGCTTTTAGACCGGATTAAAAATCATTTGCATTATGATTTACTTTGTTCCGTTTCTCGCTTCTCCAAAAATTCGCTCACAAAAGAGCAGCGAAAACACCGGAGTCGTCGCCCGAATTAGAATTAAAATTAATTTTCAAAGCCCCGCAATATCATCGGCGACTCGTTTTTTCAATAACCATCGCGTCGTTTTCAAAACTTGCCTTTTATCGGGTATTGTAATAATAAAAATATATTCGTACAGCAAATATTTTTGTAAATATTGGTTATTTATGATGAAGAAGAATTAAAAATGTTGTAATAATATTGCACCGCCACTGAAAGAAGACCTTTTTTTTGGTAAATACATAGCAAACGAATACTGTGTGCTTTTCATTTAAATTCTCGCAAAAACCCGAGAAAAGCATGTCAAGAAAATTAAATTTAATAAAGGTTATTTTCATTGTATCCTGGCTATCATCCCGGACCGTATCCAAAGGTGTCTTTTATTGCGCTAGACTGAATAAAGGGTTATTTTTTGCCCTTACTCTTAATATAAAAATGTGTTGATACAGCTTTTTTGCTATAGAGTTTCCAAAAAAATAAAACCTCCAACATTCTCTATACGTATAACGTTAAATATAGAGGAATTTTTAATATAAACTTTATACAGAAGAATGTAATTTCATCAATAAAAAAATCAACGACGACGACAAATTGAATATATTCAAATACGGCCCCTCGTGTTATTCTTGTGGCAATCTAAAATTGCATTATTAATTCCTTTTTATACGGCAAAGAATCCTTCCCAGTCGACGCTCCATTATTCAATTTGGTTCGATAAAAAAAGGCTTCAAATAAAAAGGCAGTCTCGATACAAACTCTTCTGAAAGTATCTTCCATGTTTTGTATTTAATCATATTAGTCTGTGGCGAGGCTTTTAAAAGCGATAATAGAGAGGGATGTAGAAGGTAAAAAGTTAAAAGCCAGATCGACAACGACGTTGAAAAATTAATAGAAACTAAAATTAAATGCAGGGGCTGTGTTAAAGGCCAGTTAACTGTCTGTAGATATCTCAGTACTCATTCGGTTTATCTAATAATAATAAGAGTTCCCGAAATTACCGCCCGAGGATGATTTCATACAGTCAAGACTGCCAACCTGTAGCGTAATGTCCCGTAATTAAAACGCCCCCTTCATGGACTTTATAGCCTATATAAAGCCGAAACGCGAACGGCCGTGTAATCTATGGAAAACGGCCTGTGGTCAGCAATAACTGTAAAACCGAAATATTTGCGTAGGGCCAGTCGCCGAAGGCACCCTTCGCGACGATATTAATATACGAAACGTTGCCAAACCATCACAAAATTTGCAAGAAAACTTGGATAATTGGAAAATTGCTTGTGTAATGTTTGCAAGTAGCAAGCGAGTTTACAAGTAAGTAGATTATTTTTGGAAAAGTTGACCTCTTAAGCAATCAATAGTAGGTATAATTAAATATTGGTTGTATTTGTTTAGTTTTAAATTTCAACGTTTTGAGTTTTGTATAGGTTGCTATATCTTGCGACATCTTGCAAGTATTTTCTAGGTACTAGTTGTTTAAATATTTATTTTACCACCACCTAATTGTAAATATATGCACTTACCGTATTGGCAACGTTGTACCCATCAGACAATTCCACCAGTTCTCATAAACCATGGGTGTGAAATGCGGTCGCCGAATTTACAGCGTCCAATAACGCCGACGAGGACGTCTGAAAAAAAAAGCGCCGGCTATAAATATTAGAAGGATAATTAACATTCCTGGATGTGACAAGACGCGTTAAAAAAACGACCGGGGGCCTTTGTGTAAAAGTAAATACGCGAAACGCTCATTTTCATTTTTCGACGAATCACTCTCGGAAAAGCGAAATTAATTCGATGAAAGGGAACGGTAATGCGCCGCCCGGGCTAAAAGTGTTTACCTATTGCGAAACGCTGGAGTCTATGCGGAAAAATCCAATTTAAAGAGTACCAGCTACTCTTCTAAATTGAATGTATACCTACCTCCTCGCGGATTTGTTTGCGCGGCGGCGAAAGATCCAAATTTAATTGCTTCGAATTAAAATAGCGAACTGAATGAAAATTTACTTTTTCTACCTCACCGGTTGTTCGAAATAGAAATAGATTACACTATAATCCCTGGATTCCAGCTAATATTAAGAGACATATAATTTGGTATAAAATAAGAACCATAAGTATAGGAAAGTTTTAAACGAATTTGACGATAGGTCGATACAGTAAATAACGATATTTGCACCGTTCCTGCTCGGACTTTGATCCGCCATAATCAAGTAGGCACCGCGGCGCGAAGGGCAGTCGCTTCCCTTTCCAATTGAATTTGTCACTTCGCTTTTCGCCCTTCCGTTATTTCCTTTTCGCCCAGATTTTCATTTCGTTTGAGGGAAGCTTTAAAACAAACCGACGACCGGGCGAGATGTGACAAATGGCCTACTTTGAAGCCTCTTTGCACTAAAAACAAGACGCACGAAAAGAATCCAACTATAAGTGAATCAAAAATGCACGTTCCACTATTTCCTGATTTGAAGCCGGGGTGGCGAGAGAAGGGTGGTTTCCCCCCTGTGTGCGGTAAGGGTCCTTTTCGGATGAAAATCTGCATATAATGTCGATAAATTCGTTGCACCTAATTGAAATGTAGTGGGCTTCGAAACTGGCAGATAACCCGTTTATGGTCGGTTGATGTACGGCCGGATTACTCCGGGCGAAAAATTCTCTTAATCGCAAATTGAAAATTTAACTTACTAAAGTTACTAATTTAATCATTTTACGTTCGAACAAATTTGGATCTTTTCGAATAAGAAATCTGTTGTGGAATATATTCCGAGAATACTTCGACTGTAATCGAACCGCTAGAGGTTTATATTCGGAGTTGATGTTTCTAATCAATACAACATTTACTCATTACAATTCTAGCCCGGAGGAGAGAACGGGCTATCGGTTCAAAACGCTTCTAAACGTCTTGTTATGACTAGCAGCAGACGAATGAAGTCAAAAGCCGACCTTTTCAAACCCTATTGTTCGGTATGCGATGGCGTTTTAACTTCACTGGCCCTCCAGGCGAAATTAGTGTTGCTGTTGTACAGACTCCAGACAATGAAATGTATAAAGTTCATATCGAACGGCTGAATAATAAATTATAACAATCACCAAGAAAACCCCGTTATTATGTATTTGTTTAACACTTTTAAGGGTCCTATTTGCCGCGTCAAATAAAAATAAAACTCGAAAGCGATTTCTTGTGTTTATCTAAGAAGCGCCTTTGAACATTATTGCGACTCTTTATCAGGATATTAAAGTGATACCGCCATTAAGGGAGCTTCTAATCCCGCGTTAGAGAGCAATAAATGTTGAAAACGTTAAATATGCCGATGTTTAGTTCCTCTAAGAGAAAAGCAAATACATACAAGTGCGAGATGAGGTGAAAATTAAACGAGAAGTGTAATAAACGGTGCTGCTAAATGTCACTTTAAATTCTACTCACCGGAGCCCCATGAGTGTTTAATTGGATTTTTTATTTCGCTAAAATTATAGCTTGATATTAGAATCAATCGTTCGTTATTAATCCTTTACGTGCATTTGTGTTACTTACTCCAGTCGAACGGTCCGGCGGAGATTAATTTCGAACTGACTTAAGGGATTGTGTTCGGTAATATCGCAGAAACCGCACGTTCGTCGTGGAAATTGTGGACGTACCGACCGCAGTCTGGACTGCCGGCATCTCCTGCAGCGGCCTGCGATATTAGCTATTCGCAATAAAGATTGTTCTCGGACTATACGAGCGACATGGCCCGTCTAAAATTAACGAGCGTCAACTATGTAGCGAACTCGCCCTTGTGGTTTTAATAGTGTTGGGTTGATCGAATAAAACAGACGGGCGCGCGAAATTTAATTAATCAAAATTATTTACGTGCGAAATGATAATTAGGCGACGTTGATGAGCGCAAGAAGTCGCGTCAGTTCATCGTTCAAGTAAATCACGTAGCGCGGCGATAAATCAGCGAGATAGACTAATCCGCCATTAAAATGACAAATACCTGCGCCGGTACCATTAAACAGTTCGCAAATTACTGAATTATTAATTAATTTTCAGCGTTAATGTGTTCAATTTATCAGAGAGCCGGGGAACAACGAGCGGTTGTTCATTTTCGGTGACCATATGGAAAGTTCCTAACCCCCGAGGTTATTTAGCGCCGGGCTACCTGTGATTCCTGCAATGGCGGTCATTAAGCTAAAATTTAATTACCTACTTCAGGCGGGTTGATTAATTTTTCGACGTTGTCGCGGAAATTAAGTTTGTAATTGTAGAAAACATAATTGTCTCAACATCGATTGCGATGGAACGGGAAACACCGCTTTGATCCCGCCGTTTTTCCTGCGGACCCATCTCGAAACTTATTAATAAGGATAATCCGAGTCCCTTATAGAGCGGAGTTCTCAAAGGCGAGTCCATAAGTTAGCAGGAAGCCGGCCAAGGGACAGCTGACGTTACGCTCGGCCGTCCTTCCGGCCGTCCTCGCCAATTTGCATCTGGTGAACTTCTGATATAGTTTTGATGTTAATTTAAAAGGGTCAGGATTAAAGTGGTCAGCAAATTAGGTGATGAAAATTGCGTTAGAGTAAATGAATTGCGTAATCCTCGGAGGCGATGTTCCGTCCAATGGACGCCTTCGTCACTGAAAGGATAAACATGTTTCTTATAACGTAGAAAAGGGCTTTATATCTTCGCTCTATTTCCCTCATTAGAATGTTGATGTACAACCAAAACTCGTGGAAATTAAATTTGTTGTAACTAATTAAATACAACGCGAATGTTTGCGTACAAACAATGTATAGTCCTTTTCAAGATATAGTAGAAAATAGGCGTGAGAGCTTAGGGATTATAGCAATAAAGTAATGACTTTCCTAATACCAATACAATGGAACGTTGAAGCACTTCAGTCGGGTCGGGTAGTAAACAGTATTTACATTTCCAGGTAAGAACTTAAGAAATGTTATTTAATGAGTATTTTGCATCGCCGCTTAGCCGCAGCGAACATACCAAACTTAAAATTCGGTTCTGCGTGATTCGACCGGCGAGTGCGGCGTGTACCCTAAACAGCACCGGGTAGTCGTAAACTCATCAGCTTATAAAGTCATTTTCTACTATATCTTGAAAAGGACTATACGTATAGATTTTCCGTTTTATTACAAACAAAATAGGCGCGTTTCGAACATTCCGGGTGGTGAAATTGGGAGGGTTTCAAATTTCGTTATCGAAGGGACACACGCAGTTAATTTGGTGCGTTTCGATCAGAGTTAATGACTTTCTGTTTTCCATAAATTTCGTCGGCGTTCCGACGGCTGCTTCAATATTCCCATTAGTTGGACTGTTAAATCCCTTTAATGCGGATGGTTTCCCGCGGAATTATAAACGAAATAATTCTATTACTCGTACTGTTCCGGATGGATACAGAGTCGTCTAAAAATCGGTTTATGAAATGGCCGAGATTCGCATTTTTTTAAATTGAGTCTTTGTTCTCGACGAATCGACGTAAAAAAACGATATTTCGAGGGGTGAAATATGCATGCATATATTTCGAAACGGAAAGGATTACTTCAGCTCGAAAATATTAATACTAAATCAAGTCGGAGGTCGAAATTGTGTATATACGTTAGAAAAATTAACAGTTCAACATGCGGAAAAATTAGGCGAGTATCCACAGATGCGTGATGATTAGGACCTCCCGATGGAATTTCCTTCTTGGCCGAGCAAACACCGTCGCCAAATATCCATTTTCCTTTTTCATGTAGGCCCAAAAAAAAGGAAACCAGCGGCGTATGCTATAGACATTTCAACAAATCAAAATACAAAAAATTTATTTCCTATACTAACCATTATAGCTCTAAAAAATGAAGTAGAAATAAAATTTATACTAGAATCATACAAAAAAAACTTATTGGAGATTACATTAGAGCAGCAGATTTTTTAACTCACTATATGCATTTTTCTCTTTTTTACCTTTGCAGAAATAATTTATACAATATGAAGGTGAGAGTGCGAAAATTGGTTTGCTGGTTACCGCGTCACTGCTCGGTGACCGGAGAGGGTCGAGAAAAGAATTACACTTCACGCTCGACGGCAATTTTTAATACATCTAGAAAATCAAATGTAAATATTCATAAATTCGAAATTGTTAACGGTAGAGGAGATTAAAAACGTCCGAGCGAACCCATTGCAGACAAAAATTAATTAAAACACGTAGAAGTTAACGGGGTCCCCGTCTATCTACTTCGCGTGTTGAATGTAAATGCTTTTTACTTTGCGGAATTATCCCGCCGGATGTTTTTTTACTTAGGTACATATTGTTACTTTTTCCTGATTGCTAAAAAACGGCTCGGAAATGGGAGCGATTCTCATTAATACCGAGTGCTCTAATCACTGTTACAATCCATATCTCCACAATTCCATGATTTTTTAAAAGAAATTTAACCAGCCTCCTTACAGGACGAAACTCCCAAAATCTCATGACTAATTGAAAGCGATTTTTTGACTTGTTTGCGCCGCCAAAAGGAGATTCTAACCTGGTTAGGCGGACCCTTCTCCCTTTCTTCCATCTTAATTTCGACCTTTTTCGGTACGCCGCAGGAACGTTGCAGTTTGAATACGAGAAAGCCGCGTTCCGGCTTAATGCCGCGTCTTGATTTCGTTAAAAAC